GTGAGGGGAAGGGGTGGGGGGGGGGGGGTGGGGGGGGGGGCGCATGACAGGGACGGGACATATAATTTCCCAAATCTATGACTATTCCTGGCCATTATATTTCCAGCAGGGGAAATACCTCTCTCCCACTAGAAACAGAGCATGAGGGTATTCATGAAGTCTCAGGAGACATGCAGTTATGAAGATCTCACCTGCATGAGAGGGCCTCTCAGGTAGGAATAAATACCTAAACACTTCCCTTCCGCTTGACTCCTCTTGGTTCCCAAAAGGAGCTGAGCAGCTGCTGCTCCCCATACCTTCCCCAAGTCAAGGTGACCAGTTGGATGTCTATGAACTGCCACAGTTCTGAAGGCTAAGGTTCATGTACTACTCTGGTACTTAAATAACTTTGCATAAAATAATTTTAAATATTATAGTGTATTCCTTTTATTACTATATATAATTATTTAGTTAGTATTTATAAATAGGGCTTGGAACAAAATGACTACATTTTCTCAAAGCCAAGGTGACTTAGAATTTAAGACTGTTCCTCCCCTCCCCCCCCCCCCCATTAGATTCTATACAAGGACAATTATAAATTTGCTATAATTTTGCATGTATAGAATCTAATTATTGGACGGTCATCTTAAATTCATTCCCTATACCCTGCAGCAGGGAAGGCAGTGGCAGGGGAGCAGGTGGTCTGACCCTCACCACTTATCCCCCTGGTGACTGCCCTCCCCATGCTCTGTCTCTGGCTCTAGCTTTGACCCAAGGAATAAAGCCACTGTGGCTCTGTGCTCTTGGCCTTGGCCAGGCAGTTGTCCCAGTCCCGGCAGCTTTGGCCCCAACTGCAGTCCTGACCCCAGCCAGGCAGCAGGGGCAGTGGCAGTTCTGGCTCAGGACCCATCCAAGCCCAGGACAGGCAGTCATGATGGTTCTGGGCCTGACCTTAGTCTGAGGCAGGCAGTGGCAGCAGCTCTGGGGCAGACTTAGCCTGGGGTAGGCAGTAGCAGCAGTTGAGGGCCTGGCCTGGAGCAAGAAGCAGTGGGAACTCCTCGTCTGGCCCCGGTCTGACAACAGCTTCAGCTCTGGCCCATCTCAGAGCTGCAGCTGTATCAGATACTTGCCCCAGGCCAGTACTCAAATCCAAAATTAGGCTTTTCTACTGCCCCCATGTTGAATAAGGAAAAAACCATCTTGCTTTGGATTTGAGTTAGTACGGTAGCTATTAGTGTCATTTATGTATTCATGCTATCTGGGTATTTTTGTGGTTAATATTTGACATAATTGTTTTAAAAGATTTGTCCATACATATGACTATAAAATGTCATGATAGCAGTATTCTGCATGCTACTGGAAAAAAATCTGTCATCAATAAAGATTTTTTTTTAATAAAAAAGGGTTGATATCTAGGTATTTGATATTAAAGTGATAATAATAGTCAGTAAAATAAATCACTGCAATGAAACAGTAAAGATGAAAATACTTAAACCTAAGGAGGAAAAACCAGAGTGGATTCAGAACTACATTTATGAACTACTAACCTAAATGGGATTGAATGTCAAAGGATTTTACAATAAAAAGTATGCAATGTGCTTGCCTTGTATAAATCACACTATTCAGTATTCATCTAGAACACCCTGACATGACAGAACTTACCTCATATGAATTTGTGGGGGAAAAAAACGTTAAAAAAGAAATGAAAAAGAGCTGGAAATGACTGGAGAGTACTGGGCTATCAATATTTTAACAAGGACCTCCAAATTCACCACTGCCCCATTAGCCTGTAATGAACTCTACAGTTACAACTGCACTGTATGTATAAGAATAGTGGGGGAGGAGGGGTGGCAGCGGAAGAGAAGGAAGGCTGTAGCTTAGGCCCATAGCGGCAAAGGGCCTAGTACTGGCCACTATTGGAAACTAACTAGTGGACAAAGCTAAGCACTCATGTGATTGGACATAGCAATTCATTCTTTTTAGTCTCTTTGTTTTTTCAAATAGCACCACTGGACGAACTACAGCAGGGAATGTCTCGCTTAAGTATAGTAACCCCATTCAGACAAAAGAAAGGTAAACTGCATGTTATCCAGCACATCAGATGTAAACACGATTATCATCGAAGCCAGCCTCTCTCACTTCTTTTTGTATTGTTCTCTTATACTTTTCACTAACTGTGCTGTTTCCTGTATCTGCTACTGGCAGCATCTCAAGTAGTTAACACAGTACCCACCTTCCAGCCCAAACTGTAGCAATTTTTTGGGTATACTTTTTCAGTACTCCAGTAGCATGAATCATCTACCAGTGTTGTATGATCTATCCAAATGTGCTCCCTGACCATTTGTCTCAAAAGATGTGGCTCTAGTGTGGTGAATCTCAAACAGGGTGCCACCCTACAACTTGTGATGCCTTGAGATCCTTTCAAGCATGCCACTGGGTGCCACATAATGTTAGTGCTGTTAGGTAACCAAACGTGATTCACAAGATAAAGCCAGAAATTTCAAATAGGAATCCCTAGTGTTAAATACATTCTGACCTGTTGTGGTCTTCCTGAGTTCTTTACAATAGAAAAACTGCTCCATTATTTTTCTGTAGTCAAAAATCAAGTGATAACTAAGAACTGACATTTTCTGAGGGGTGTCTCGAGTCTAATGAGGGGTCTTGAGTCTAAAAAGTTTGAAAACTTTTTTCCTTTGTACACACATTTTTTGCCCTTTCTTGCACTGCAACTGCATGACTGTTTGCACGAGTAGGTTTTCTGGATGCTTCAAAGCTAGAGACAGACATTCAAAAAGCCTGAATTGATTAAATCTTTGCAGGTTAGTCTAACCTGCCTAAGCTGATTTGTAAGCTGTTTGTAACCGCACAGATATCCCCTCTGGACTGAAAAAATACAAACACTGATGCGATGTTCCAAAAAAAACAACAACCAAGTTTAAATTCTATAAACCTATTTAATTTAATGAGGATTAAAACCTGTGGTGTGTACAGGCACCCTACAGCTCTAGTGGCTGGTATGAGGAGTTAACAGGAATAGCTTTTTCAGCATAAACAGACCATCTGGAGATAGTTTTCTGAGGTTATGCAGTGAAACCAAAACTAATATTGTTTGCTGGTGGAGGTAAGATAAGAAAAAATAAGGAAAAATTCCGGGAGGTAAAACAAAAGAAAATTATTGCTCATTGGTGAGATTCCACATAAATATCTGTGTAAGTTGGAGTTTTATGTGCTGACAGATACCATGAAGCTGAACTACCCAAAAAATGTCATAGGACTCATATATATTCATGTCCAAGTAAAAGAAATAGTTATGAGTAGAACTTTTCAGTCAGGGCATTTCAAATGATGTTAAACAAATTTACTGAAAAATTGTTTAAAATTAAATATAAAAATGAACGTATTCTTACCAGAATGACTTGGAAAAGAACTGGAACAAGATTGCTCTCTCCAACCAGGCTGTAAAAACATTAAGATACATATATTTTTATATTAGAATTGTCAACTGGTATTTAACATACAAGTTACTCAGGGAGCAATGCAGCTCAAAAGTCTTTGTTGCGAAAATCTCTGACCCAGAACCCTAGCCTTTGACTAACTCTTCACATAAATGAGCTATTAAATAGAAACAGCAATGTAATACTTCTTTGGAAATTACTCCTAGGTCTGACTTACTGATGTGAGGCAAGTGAGTGGAACAGTAAGTAAATTAATATTTTTTAAATGGCAGAAATTAATTAAAATTTAGAAATACAATACTATAAAGACTATCAAACAGTCAATGTAGACCATGAAATAATTTGAACTAATAGACCACAATGCCTACAGCGAAATAATAAGCAGACTGCATGTTAATTTTTTATGTATGCTCCATTAACTATCCTCTCTACTTTAACATATTAATGTACAATGAATATGCAGCATCTTCTCTCTTTAAAGAGAGTCAGGAAATGATTACCTAGTGGATTTCATATATCTCCCAGCAAAAACAAATATAAAACATGTGTTCTATATTTTTCTTATAATATGTTCTAATAGTGGAATATTCAGAAAAAAAGAAACAATTTTATTTCTGAAGCATTTTCCAAGAGGATGTGAAAGGGTTTATATATATATATATATAATTATATATATATATATATAATTTATAAATATATATATATAAATTAAACTTTACAATATATTTGTAAGCAACTGTAAGGTCAATCTGCTTCCTTTAAAATTAATGAGTGTTTTGCAAAACAGCTGTTGATTTTAGAGAGAACAGGAAGAGGTCTCAGCATTCCATATGGCTAAAAACTGATTTACTTTAAAAGTGTTCACATTTATTTTAATAGTCTAATTTTAAAAGCTTCTTACATTAAAAACAAACAAAACTATGTCACCATTAAATCTGTGAGGTTGAGCATTCAGACGTCAGGAAATACAGAACTGAGATTGTTTATATTAATTTAAATTTGGCCTTACTGTGAACACACATTATGATACAGTCCCTAATTTCATGACTACGTACTATTTTTCTCCACAGAACATCTGCTTAATTCAGTGAATGTGTACTTATTCAATAGGGTTTTTAACCCTTGTCACTCAGTGAGCTGTATCATGCCTTATTTCACACCATTCAAACCTGGCCTTGAATATCTTCTGTGTTTATCTTACGGTTCTTATTTTCACAGTACGCAAATACATCTCACAGATCTCCCCCATTGTATACATGGGGAACTGAGGCACCGAGAGATTGAAGCCAAACTTATCAAAGGATCCTAGCTTCTCCCACTTTGAGCCTCTTTTTTTCAGCATACTTAGCATAAAAAGTCTAACTACTACACAATGATGAGAGAGAGACTTTGCCAGTGAATGTCATGGTTATTTACCAGATAACAGAATGCTGCTAAGACTCAAGAGACCTTGGTTCACTTCCAGATTATGGCAAAACCTTTTGCTCCTGTGGTCCAGGACCATCTTTCAGTACGAACTACCAGCCTGACCTGTTTCACCCAGCCCTCTAAGTAAGCCTACATTTGTCTGACCTTCTCTGTGCCTGATATCCTGCTACGTGTCAGTGTTTTTTAAAGCCTTCTGCAGCAGCATTGGGGGTTAGCTATAGCCAAGATTGAGAATTTTGACTGGCATCTCAGTACTCCTGCTGGGACTTGAGCCAAGACGTTCCTAGCTGGAAGGTCTTGCCCCTCTACTCAAGGTTAGACCAATCACCATTTTGGGGTCAGGGATGAATTTTACCCCATGGTCAGACTGGTATGGATTGTGGCACCAATACGGCACTAGTATGGCACCCTGTACCGGATCCAGACACTTGCCCAATCCCACTTGCCAGCCCAGCTATGTATGCTGGATCCAACTATGGCCAAACCCTGATCACCAACACAATCCATCATGTGGGGGTTTTTGCCTTCCTATTTAGTTGGGGTTCGGCCCTCTTCCTTCTCTTGTGTATATTAACAACATGCTTCAGGATGTCGACCACCATGGTACCCACTGCTTAACCTGTGGCAGATTAGGGTGTTATGCTTTGTGCTGTGTCAGAGTTGACTGCATAGTTTTACTGAGAAGTTAGTGAGTGGATTTGTATACAGTGGTTTGGATAGGGATTATACTGCCCCAGGCAGGGAATTGGACTAGATGACCTATGGAGGTCCCTTCCAGCCCTAATTCTCTATGATTCTATGTAGCCGGACCCTACCAAGATCACCAATTTATTGTTAACTCACTGGTATTTTATAACATTTCACAGATTTCACAGACATTAGGGCTGGAAGGGACCTTGGAAAATCATAGAGTTCAGCCCCCTGCCCTAGGGGCACAAAGTCAGCTGGGGTCATAGGATCCCAGCAAGATAAACATCCAATTTTTTCTTGACAGCATTCAAAGTAGGTGCTTGAACCACCTCCGATGGCAGTCTATTCCAGACCTTGGGGGCTCGGACAGTAAAGAAATTCTTCCTTACGTCCAGCTTGAAATGGTCTTGCAGTAGTTTATAACCGTTCGACCTAGTCGTCATCCCTAGGGGCGCTCTGGTGAACAAACGTTCCCCCTGATCCTGGTGAACACCCCTGATAAAACATATAGGTGGTCATCAGATCACCCCTGAGCCTGCGCTTTTCCAGGCAGAAGAGTCCCATAGCTCTCAGCCTATCATCATAAGGTCTATTTTCCTGACCTCCGATCATGCACATGGGCTCTTCTCTGGACTCTCTCAAGCTTATCCACATCATTTTTTAATTGTGGAGCCCAAAACTGGATGCAGTACTGCAGCTGCGGCCTCACCAAGGCCGAGTACAATGGGAGAATGAAGTCCTGGGATTTGCTTGAGAAGCATCTATGGATGCAAGGCAACGTTTTGGTTGCTTTACTAGCCGCAGCATCACATTGAAGGTTTATGTTCATTTTGTGGTCAATGATGACCCCCAAGTCTCTTTCTTCTCTAGTGCTAGCCAGCGTAGCACTGTCAAGCCTATAAGGATGCTGCAGGTTTTTCCTCCCAAGGTGGAGAACCTTGCATTTTTCAATGTTAAACACCATCAGGTTCTTGTCTACCCATTTGCTGAGCCTGTCAAGGTCAGCCTGGATCACCGGCCTGTCCTCAGGTGTGGATGCTATACCCTAAAGTTTGGTAACATCGGTGAACTTGGCCAGTCCGCTTCCGACTCCAATGTCTACATCATTAATGAAGATGTTGAACAATATAGGCCCAAGGACAGAACCTTGTGGGACCCCAACTCCAACATGGGAGACTTCAACTACCCAGACATCTTGTGGGAACAGCGTTCAGCTAAATCCGAGCTAAATTACGATGAGATCGTAATTATTTGTGTTAAGCAGGAGGACAAATTCCTCCTTTTTATTTCCCAAGTTCCTGGCATTCATGTACAGGCAGGCAAGTGTCCCCTTAGGGGTCCCAGCCTTGCCTGCAGCCTGTTCCAGAGCTGCGGCAGGGGTGGGCTCCCTTAAGTGCGTTGACTTATTGTCTTTGCAAGGGTTGCTCAGCAGGCCAGCAGTGGCGGTAGTCCCCCC